ACCTTGATGTGAATAAGCTGATCCGCCTCTGTTCTAGTTATCTAGTGCTGTACAACAATCATTCCAATATATAGTGGCTTCATATAGCAATAATCATTATTTTGTTCACAAATCTGCAATTTGGGCAGGGCTCAGCAAGGAAATCTAGTCTATCCACCATGTAACATCTGGGGCTGTTCAACTTGGGATAGCAAACTGGTGTTTACTATTAGCTGAGGTCTCAGCCAGAGTAGAGGCACAAGGGCATTGGTTCTTTGAAAGGGCTGCCTTGGGCTTTCTCTTGACAAACCTGCTAGATTCCGAGAGACTATCAAAAGAGGACTAAACATATTACCTTTTGTGGCCTCACCTTGGCAATAACTATATAGTATCTGTTGTAGTTATAGGCCTATCCCGATTCAAGAAATATGCACAGACTCTACCTCTTTATTGGATGAGTGTTAGTCACACTGTAGGGTGGCTGATCTTGTGGACATCAGAAACACATAAGCTTCCATTCTGTAATTCACTCCTACCATAATCTCCTATCTCTTGGATCATTTCTCCTTAGTCTACTTGGAAAGGCTTTTCTTCCGTGATACTCAATCTTACCCTCTTCTTAATTACATCCTTCTAAGCAGTTTATTAACTTAAGGTAATCTTCAAAATAATGTTCCCTGCTTGACAAGTGAGAAACCTGAAGCACAAGACCACACAAATGAGGAACAGAACTAAGAGAACTCATCCATTCCCAGGTCTAAATCATCAACCATGTAAAAATAATAATACTTAAACATAACTAGCTATGACCTCTTTCTGAGTTACTAATTTGGATTTGCAATTGCCTCCTGGATTTCTTCAACAAGATAACTTGCTAAAAACTTAAACTTTTATACTTTAAAAAATTAATATATTATTCCTTTTCACTGAAAGAGTCCTTCCAATTTTCTCTGCCAAGTTAGTAATTATGTTTCAACCATCTACTGTCCAAAGTTTACTAACTCAAAACTAACTTAACTCCTCAGTAACTAAGTTCTTTTGATTCTTTCGTCAAAATGTCTTCCCAAATGTCCTGTCTTCTTTGTCACACTAAATTAGGCTAAGATTTCACCTGCTTGGATTAATCAATCAACAGATAATTCTTGAACAATTAGTATATGATAAGAACTATGCTAGTTTGCCCATGACCCCTATTTTCCAAGCTAACAATCTTTTCATCACTAACAGCTAATCTTCACATTGGTATTAAAATTATCTGCTTCACAGCCCAAGTGCCCATCAACTGGAGATTGGATGAAGAAAATGTGGTTTTTTTATAAAATGGAGTACTACTCAGCCATAAAAAATGAGAAATTAGAGACATTTACAGCTAAATGCCTGCACACTGAGGCGATACTCTTAAGTGAAATAAATAGGACACACGTGTAAATACCAAATAGTTCCCCTGGTGTGAGAAACTGAAAGTGTAAAGAAGGACTAAAAGTTATAATAGATAATGTGAAATAGGAAGAAAAGGGACAAATGGGAAGTGGGAGGGGTAGAGGATAGAAAAGAGGGGAATGGAATTAATATGAGAAAATGAAAAAATGGAAACAAAGTCTTTGTAAATAGGTAAGGATGGAGGGGTTGAAGGGAGGGCATGGGAAGGGGGAAGAAATAAGAACCAAGAGAGATTATGTAAAGGTACAAATTTCCAAGGATGAATGTCACTATATTGTATACCTAAAACGTACCAATAAAATTAATTTTAAAAAATTTTAAAAAATTATCTGCTTCACACGAACACATCCTAAAAGCCAGGTCAGCCCTACTAACCACGGGCTATAAAAAGGCTTCTCAAAACTTTCTCAAGTCCTTATTGTCTCAATGCCTTGCTATGAGTCACTGCTCCCTATTCCTAAAACATGCATATACACTTCCTATATCTTCTCACTATTCCCGAAACACAGCCCACCTTATATAATGGATATATATCTTCTGTCTCTGCTTTGGATGCCCTTCTCCTGCTTGAAAAGTTTCTATTCATCCACCTACACCCAATTTATATGTTATTACTACATGAAACCTTTCCTAATTATCCCAGGAAGATTCTGTACTCCCACTGCACTGTATTATTGGCTAACGTATTTGTCTACCCAAACTATAATTTTAACTCACTATCTTATTAACTTCAATATCTGGAATGATGTTAAGCCTAGGACAAGTATGGTATTCAATAAATGTTTGCTGAAGGAATATATGAATGAATTAATAATATTTCTATGGTGTGCCCCTTTGAGACATGCAGCCTCATTTGGCACCTTATGTTGAACTTAGAAGGTATTAAAAAAAACTTGTTGAAGTGATTGACTAGCTACTGTGCTAACAAAAAACTCTCCCATACAGGTAGCCTGCCCAGAAAAAAGAAAGACTCTAGAAGAATCATATGAGACAAAATTAGCCAATGAGAAGGGAATGTGTCTTCAATAATGCATTAAGAGAAAAAAGAACAATATTTGTTACAACAGAAAAAGAACTTATAATCATAGCCACTTTTTATATATAAAATATATAACTAATCCAAACCACAGAGGAATCCCTGTTTAGAAAGTCCATACTGAGCAATCATTTAAAAATATTACAGATGAATTCTTTCAAAAAGGTCTGTCAACAAGGGCTGAAACTAAGAAGATTATCTAGGCAATCACTAGAACATACATTATTATAATAACTAAATCATCTATTAACAAATCACTTCTGCCACCTGAGGAAATAACCTGACATTTGATTTTGTTGTATAAAGTTGTGTTAAAAAATGGAAAGTCATAACACCAATAAGATTTTTTTAAAAACATAGTTGACAATGAAATTTCATGGATGCAAAAATTTATTTCCCTTTAACTTCTCTTCAATGTGGAAAATGAAAGCACAACTCTATTTAACAGTACATGAAAATGAGGATGCATAAAAGCAAAACATCCTTGACTACATCCTGCCCTCTGTTAGCCACAGTTCTCCAGCTATGATTAAGACTGGAAACAGGAGAAAAAGACACTCCCTGATTTATCCTACAACTTAGATCTATGGCAGCAGCTGCAGGAAATGGCAACAGTGACTGAAGGTTTTTCTTTCTTCTCTTCTAAAGCAGAGGTCAACTCTTCACTTGGGGATGAGCTCTTATAGCCATCCAGGAAAAAATAAATACTATACTTCTTACTTATTTGAAGCCATGATAATTCACTTTTAATTCTTCAGGAAAGAGAGGGAAGGGTGTATCAAAGGAACACTTTTAATTCTGATAAAGCAACAAACTATATATGACCAGGGGAAAAAGTTGCCTTTGCTCTAAGAAACCTCTGGCCAAAAGATTACTGTCTACATCATCACTGAGTCTTACCAACTACCACATAACTGAGAGCCACTAAATTAAACTCTTATTTTGGCTTAACTACTTTGCTAAGGCTAAAATATGTGTTAGCAAAAAAAATTAGCAAAATATGTAATTAAATACATTTGCAAGTAAGTTAATGTATTGTAGTCACACATTTAAAGAAAAAATATATATATGTTCCAAGCCACAATTGGGAATGTTAAGGAGGATTCATTAGTTCAAAAGGTAATGTCTTAAGAACTATGACCAAACTTTTCTGTTAACGGCAGGTTTGTCACAAAATTCATTAATCAAAGATCCCTAACCATTTCTTAAAGTTTTCCATCTTTATAAAAGATGAAAAACGAAACATGGACCTACAGAACTACCTAGTATCTTGCTCTGGGACACACAGGAAAGCTCTTAAGAAGAATGTCTTCCTGCTCTGGTGTCAATAAACAGATGCCAAAACTTTGTACATTAATGCCATACGTCTCCCAGCGCATAAATCTGAGAAAATGTAACTAATATTTCTTAAGTATTCTGTGTAATTACAATCCTTGCCTCACAAATTACTGTTCTATTACAATTTAGTGTAACACTGGATTGTCATTCCTCTCAACAAAAGCATTATCTATGCAAGAGATGAAAGAAAGCCACAAAGTAGTAACAAAAGTAACGTCAGTTCCACTTGTGAAAACTGGCACTTGAGTTTAAGCCACAAAAACTGCAGAAACTTAGGTAGAAAAGGACACTCTTTATTGTGCAGAAATGCTCCATTGTGAACTGCAGTGCTCCTCACTACTACAGTACTTTATACTTCCGTTACTTAGCATGAAACAAGCGCACAAAACAAGGTCTTCCTTCCTTTTACTTCGCATCGCACTTTCATTTCTTTCACACCAGGAGATGGCTATGTTTCGTCGCTGTGGGGCCCATAAGGGTTTTCCTATTCTACTCCAGAAGCATCAGTGCTTCTCACTGCGGGACTGGCGAAATTAAACGTTACAGTCCTGATCCCGAAAACTCAGGGAGACACTGGAACGCCACCGACTTTCACACGGCCTGGATCTTCCAGGGAGCGCCCGGGTGCATCCCTGCCGCATTTCAAGTTGGGCTTCCCTTCGCCAGCGGGGCTAAGCAGGCCCTCTCCGGGGGGACCCGGAGAGACCCTCTCCCTCTGCAGCCCAAGGCCGGCGGCCCGCAGACACGGGCGCCACTCCCAGCGCTTACTCAGAAGCCCGCGCCCGGTCTCCGGGTCCGCGCCGCGCAGGACGGCGGGCTTTCCCGGCCGGCTGGGCCCGCCTCCCAGCCACCTCCGAGGCCCGCACCGCGCGCCAGACGCCGCGGATCCGCGGGACCCACCTCGAAGAGCTCGGCCGTCGTCGCCATCCCGGCCGGCTGAGAGGCTCGCCCCGCGCGGGATGCTGTCTGCACCTCACATGCTGCGCCTCACCGGCGCCGCGCACAGGTCTCAGCTCGGACGGCCGCCGCGGGCTCCCCTGTTCTCACAGAGATCAGGAGGGGCCGGAGAGCGGCCATGAAGCAAAGCCCGCAGACGCCTGTCAGCTGCCTCCCGGCGCCGCCCGCGCCGCTCCCATTGTCACCGCCTCGTACGCCGGAAGTGGAACTGCGCGCGCTGGGGAGGGCGAGGGGAACGAGCGCTGAGCGACCCGGGGAGAAGCTCGAGGTTCGTGTGTGTGCGGAAGCTTGATCCTCGTGGGCCACCATCCCGGAAGTGGGCTTAAAGGAAGAAAGTACTGTATTGGGTGTTCTCGGGACTCAAGGTGCGGATTTTTAGAACTTTGGGAGGTGTGTGTTGACCTGGAAGGATTCAGAGGTTTTGGTCACCACACCTGAAGGCCCTTAGCTTCTCTGACGAGCCCGCTTGTGGCGCACACATGGTTGCACCTTGAGGCTTCTTGTTAGAGTTCCTCTATAAAAGCCAGTCTGCGTTGCTGTTCGGTGGCGACTGAGTTCGGAGATGTGTTGATGCTTCAGCCGCTCACCATGGCCCTGCGGGCGGTGTGGCTCATACGCCACGAGCCGGGAACTCCACTTTGTGGCTCCGTGAGATTCTCCAGGTAATGCAAGTCTGAATCCTCAGAGTCATATGATGGATCGAAGGATGGATGATGAGCATAGTTTTGGCATGCATCGAATCCTGGGTCGGCCACGAATAGCTGAGTGACCTTGAGCAGGTTTACTAACCTGTATTTTGCCCATTGAGTGGAAATATTAATAACCCCATTTTACAGTGTTGGCAGAATTAAATCAGCTGTCGCCTGCGACATATTAATTACTACGTGTGCTTTCTGGTATTAGTGTTCTATTTTAAAATTAACTGCAACTACTTAAGATTGTTGTAGAGATGACAAAAAGGTGTTGAGCACTAAATATGTTTCAATGATAAAATCATTCAAGGGCGTTTCGCCAACTCATTCTTCTGAAAAACTCTTGCTGAGCAGTTATCACTGTTACTTTCATCTTACCAAAGTGTCACTGCTAGAAATCAGAGTTTACAGTTCGTAGTTGATGAAGAAAACAGAACTACGAAAAATTAAATTACGTTACTTTAAATTTAAATTACTTTACTTTTAAATTTAAATTACATTACTTAAATAAATTACTTTTTTCTTCTCTGGTCCTGCTTTTAGAATTTACCATATTTTATTAAAACATGTCTGAGGAGAACCCTACACCTCATTTTAAAATGCGATTGACACTCCAGTAAGCTGTTTCTTTTTCTTTTTAGTGGCTATTGACAGGTTTTTTTGGTTTTGTTTTTGTTCTTGGCCAACAATTCATTCTTCCCTGAGGAGAGATTTATCATAGTGAAAGTGAGATTGAAGCAGATAAAAATCAGTGTAGGTTTTAAGTGTGAAGTGTTTTTCTCTTTCACACTGTGGACCAGTTTTCCTAACATCTTCCGAATAGTATATCTTTTAGCCATTTGTTTATGGGGCTATTGATGATGTTTATTACACTCCCTTAAAAACACTGGTCTGTTTGTTCTATTACTGTCTTTTTTGTGCAGATACCGTACTGTTTTATGTATGTGGCTCTATAGCTTATTTTAATATCTCAGAGTGGTGAAGTTTTTACTGCTTAAATAAGTTCCTTGAGGAAATCATGCTAGATTTCAGAATGTTTTCCCAATATGCTTGGAAAAAAATATTTTAGAAGAAAAATTTAGGTATATTTGGAGGAGCTCTCAACATTTCTATGGAGGCAGCAAGTTGGATTCAAATAATTCATGTCACTTTAATAGTGTATTAATGAATGAATTAATAAAGTTTTATTATTTTGGGTTTCAGACCTCTTGGGACTGGTGTTAGTGCTAAACAACCTGGCTTAGGGTGGTGTAGTATCCCTAGTTGTAGGGATATTTAAGGTTTAAATCCTCTTTTAGAAAAATCCTAGGATAAATTTGAAGTGGTAGATTGAATTGTACAACAGAATATTGAGCACATACTGAGGTATGGTATAAGGTCCCACAGTAACTTATCTTTACAATCATAAAATTTTTAGAACTTTGTCATCTAGATAACCAGAGAACAAGTCACTAATGATGAGTTAACTAATTCTTCCCTTTTCTCAACCAAGAAATACATCAGAATTTGAATTAGTGAAGTTTACTTATATGTAGCTGACTTTACATTCGTATATTTATTTTTTTAATTACTAGAAAATAATCAGTATTTTATTAGTGAAAAATATTGTTTTATCCAGGTATATTTTTGACCCTTGATTAAAAAAAACAAAACAAAACTGTTTTAGAAGGGTTTGGGGGGGGTATTTTATTGCTACATTCTATTTTATTTCATTTTATTTTATTTTTTGGTGCTGTGGGTTGAACCCAGGGCCTGGAGCATACCAAGAGTGCACCACACCCTGAGCCCCCTCATTTGTTTTATAAATAAAAATTGCCAGCCAGATGGCTTTATTCTAGACTTTGAAGTAGAAGGAGAAGGGAAAATACATCTTTTGAAACTAAAACTGTGATTAACGGATTTGTGTAAATGAGCAAAAGTGTCTTTTATTCTACTTCCCAAGAAAAGAAAAAGATAAATTAGTAACTTACCATTCAACCTGAAGCAGGGATTGTGAGCCTTTTATAGCTTTCAGTGATAACATATAGCCAGCTGTGGCATGCATACCGTAAGGTTCGCCACCCCTGACCTAGAACATGCAAACAGTAAAGAATTATTCAGATTTTCTTTCTTTTTTTTTTTTTTTAGTTCATAGTATCTTCCAGGACCATAAACTGTTACTGAAATGATCTTCCATATTTTGGTAAGAGTCAGCAAGAATCAGGATACCTGTTATTCACTGTAGACTGAGTAGAACATTCCTTTAAAAGTGTATCATCTCAACTGTTGTGGAGGGTTAAATTGAACCACTTCTTTGGTCCTACTCTACTAAGATGGAATCAAAAGAAAAAAATTTTATAGAAAGATTGGTCTAGGTATAGACTCTTTGTCTACCAACAGGGAATCAGAATGGTTGAGAAACAGGAATTTTAAATTAGTGTCATGTATCCTGTCTATTTAAAAAAAGAAACAAATTTAATTGAGCACTTTCAATAATAGATGATATTTTATCATTTCATAACATACCAAGGATAAAACAGTTAATCTGGTAGGAATTTATATTTCTTGGTTGTTGGCTTTTGTGGGTGTGTTTGTTTATTGTTATTAATCTTTGCCCTGTGTTTTAATTCGCTTGTTTTGATTTTACGTGGAAGATCAGTTACGTTTTTTCTCCTAATGCAGACGGTATCCAACTGTTGAAAAGCGAGCTAAAATCTTCAATGGAGTGAGTTATGTGCCTGTTCCTGAAGATGGTCCTTTTCTTAAAGCACTACTCTTTGAACTTAGATTATTGGATGATGATAAAGACTTCGTGGAAAGTCGTGACAGTTGTTCACACATCAATAAAACATCCATCTATGGGCTTCCAATAGGAGGCAAAGAACTCTGGCCAGTTGTTGCATTTCTAAGGAATGGCATGATATATGCGAGTGTTCCACTAGTTGAACAGACTCTGTCCCCTCATCCACCACTAATTAGCATTAGTGGAATTTCACAAGGCTTACAGCTCCTTTTCAGTATACAGGATTTTCTGTACTTAGGTCAAAAAACTGACAGTGAGCTAAATACAAAATTGAGCCAGTTGCCTGACTTGCTTCTACAGGCTTGTCCGTTTGGTACTTTACTGAATGCCAACATACAGAATTTGCTAGATAACAGTAACTTTGCTTCTGTGACTCAACCACAAAAACAGCCAGCCTGGAAAGCTGGGACATACAAAGGAAAACCGCAAGTCTCCATTTCTATCACTGAAAAGGTAAAATCCATGCAGTATGATAAACAAGATATAGGAGATACGTGGCAAGTTGTTGGAGCAGTCACTTGCAAGGTAAGATTTTCTCAGGTATTTGCTTTATCATACCATTTAACACATATGAAAAAGAAAATTTAGCTGTGTGTATTGTGTGTTGCTAAATGATATTCTTAATGTTTAGCTTGAGCAGCAGTCTTAGAGTTGTAAAATTTTGTTATCTTTTTTTTTTTTACCAGTTATTTTGTATCTGTTGTTGTGTAATAAGTTGTCCCAGTACTCTAAAACAAGTATTTATTTCCTCCTACTTTCTGTGGGTCAGAATTTCAGAAGCAGCTTAGCTAGGAACTTCTATTTTAGTGCCTCATGAGATCACAATCACAATTTTGGTTGGGCCTGTAGTAATCCAAAGGTTTGACAGGGGCTGGATGATCCAGCAAGATGAGTCAGTCTCATGGCAGGCATTTTGGTGCTGGTTGAAGACGGACCAAAATCCTCTTCGACATAGACCTCTCAACAAACTATTTGTTTATCCTCACTACTTGTTGGTCAGCTTCAGATTGAATGAGAGAGGTGGAGGAGAGATTGAATCAGAAGCTGTTCTTTTTATTACTTAGACTGGAAGGTCACATGACCTCACTCTACTTCCTGCTTGTTGGAAGCAAGTCAGTAATTCTGGGCACATTCAAGCATTATGCAATTAGGTCCACCTTTTGAAAAGAGTAGTGTCAAAAGAAACAGAAAAGTGTTAGAGATTTTGTGGACATATTTTAAGATCGCTATGCCTATTTTCCATTTTTCTCTAGAGAGGTCAAATTTCAAATTGACAAATCCTCCGATATGATACCTAAAATCATTTTGAAGAGCTTCTGTTTTATTTAAATGAATCGTTAGGTTAATATAGGGTTTAAGATTAGAAAAATCTGAAAAAAAAAACAGTGGAAATAGTATAGAAAGCAGTAACTAATGTTGAATAGTGACCAAAAATAAAATCCTCAAAGTAAACGTTCTTTACATGTATATTAATAGTATTCTCAGATGTCTTTATTTTTCCATCTTCCTTTTATTTTGTGTGCTTTTAATGTAAACTTTTTGTATATCAAATTTAACATTGAATGTCCATGTATAAATCCTATGAATAAAAGTAGATTTCAAGAATAGATGATTACAACAATCCTGACAAGGAAATTGGGCCTTTCTTTTCTTTTTTTTTAAACATAATTAAAGTGACCTAAAAGTTTTTGTCTGTGTTACGTTTACTTCTATCATAGTTAAAAATACATTCCGGTTATTCATTCTATGAAAAAGAAGTATTATAAACTACTGTAAAGTCATGGATTATGTCATTCACAAGTCTTAAAGTAGTTCTTTTTTTCTTATAAGTTTGGTATAATGAAAGTAGGAAAACCATCATTTCTGTATATCTCATGGCAAAAAACAGGAAATATGTTACATATAATGTAATGCTAATTAATATCATGATATTTAAATATCTCAGTTCATTGATAAGCTAACCGTACTTTTTTGCTAACAGAAATTCTGGATTGATTCCTATTCTTATTTCTGATAAAGATGCTCAGGATGGAGAACTTTCTTCTTTAAAAAAAAAAAAGTAGGATCAAGTATCCCTTAACTTACACACTAAATGTTTCTTTAAGGTTGTATGTAAATAATATGATTACTACCCAGACATTTTTTTAAGGGCTTCAGGAGCTTAGTATTTAAAGGAGTTTTACTCTAGAACTGATTATAAATGGAAATAATTATTTTTATCTAGTAGAAAAACCTGACGAAATGAAAGCCAGTGCACTGAAGTTCTAGTCCTTACTCTACCACTAATTTTGTGTCTTCGGAAAAAACCACACAACTTTTTGAATCTTTTATCATTTTTAAAATGAGATGAGTTCTAGGTAACTTCTTGTTTTATATTCCTAGTTCTAATGTTCAGATTTACATATGCTAGACTGGTTTAAAAGGTAGTACACAGATTCTTTCTAGAATGCCTGTGTGTGTCCATCCTGTAGTATACACAGCCACTCTAGAAAGAATTTTTTTTTTTGGTACCAAGGATCAAACTCAGAACATTGCAGTTGTGAGGCAGGTGGCAGCACCACTGAGCTAAGTCCCCATCTAAATTGTAATAGTACTTACTATTAAAATTTGGCTTAGTTTGTTCTCTCCATAAATGTATAAACAAACAAAACTTTTTTATTCTTACTAGTACATATAAAGAGTGAAGTAGTGGGTGGTTTAAAAGTTGAAGCACTAACATTTTTAAGTTTTTTTCTAAGATTATTTGACATTTTTATTTTCAAATGTGATCTGCATAATTATCACCAAAAGACTTTTATATAACACTAATTGTACTTGGTCTGTTCATAACACCTGTCGATTCTCTAAGTACATTGAAGAGTTCATACATTAATGAATTCACACATTTTAAGAGGTAGAACATTAAAAAGTAAAACATTTCAGATTAGTATTAAGAAAAAGTAGGGTCCATAAATAGAAAAAGAAAATTCATCAAATACTTTTTTAGTATCTCCAATGCATTACAATGTAGTAGGAACTAGAAATATGAAGAAAAGTAAAACAGTTCTTCTTTTCAAAGAACTTCAAGCTTCAAGAGGGAAACATAGGCATAAACAGATACTTAAAGGTGATGAACAGTTAATGCATGGTGTGGACTATGTAATGATAGTGCACTTGGAGCTAAGCATCTGGCCTGTTGTGTTCTACTAACCCTTAAAATATTTTTTAGTTCTAGCTTAGCAAAATACCAGTACACCTTACCTGGCTCAATTTGCCAGTTTGATCCAGCATTTTAAGGGCTAAATGTCAAATTCGAATTGAGGTACAAAGGATTTCCCAGACTACCTACACACACATAAGTAAAGCTTGTTGATCTGGTGGGGTTGTAAAAGGCCACTATAAAATTTATTGGAATAAATATTTTAGGACTTACACAAGCATAAGAGGTGCTGAGGAAACAAAAGTAATATTCTGGTTACAGCCTTCAAGATAGAGTCCCTCACAAGTTCATTCCACAGATTGAAGTAGTTAGGAAACCACAGTTTACAGAGAAGTCTGCACAGTTGCTAGGACTGCCTGTTACAACCTCAAAGCAGAAGATCAAGGAAAAATCTCCAAAAGTAATATAGCTAGCCATTGTAGCCTTGAAGTAGAAGCTCAAGGAGAGGTCTGAAGCTATTTAATCTGACTTCCATGGTATCCTAAGAATAATGGCTTCCCTTTCACTCCTCCCAAATCTCATGAATATCTCCTGTTGACAAACTAAGCCAATTCACATAGGGAAGAAGATACCTAATATTTCTACATGCCAGAAGTAGGCTGTAAAGGGGATAATACAGAACTTTAGTCATTGCACAAGTCATTTAGTAAACTGAACATGAATAAATGAATTTACAGGGAGAAAAGGGCATTACAGCTAGAGGGAATAACATGCATATCCAAGTGTAAGTGTGAATTATTCCGGGAAATGCAAAAATTCTGTCTTCAGCGTAAGTCACGGGATACAAAATGATATGAAGAGGTAGATGGGGGACAGACAACAAAAGGCTTTTAAAAAATACAAAACTAAAGAACCATTGAACCCCTGCCACCATCCCAAGTTCCTAGGGCAGAGAAGCTGAGCCAGTCCCAGCACCTGGAAGGAAGCTCCCCCGCCGCCATCTCAAGCTCCTAGGGCAGAGAAGGTGAGCCACGCAGGTGCCAGAAGCACACACCCCCTCCCCCTGTGGAAATGGGAAGACACATAAACAAGCCTCAAAAAAAGACTTCTGGATCACCTACAGCAACCCCAAAGGGAAACGAGATGGAACAGTCTTTTTTTTTTTCCTTTGGTACCAGGGATCGAACTCAGGTCCTTGCGCTTGCAAGGCAGGCGACGGAACCACTGGGCTAAATCCCCGGCCCACATGGAACAGTCTGATACTCAACCACCTGGACTGTCTGAACTGGCAACAAAAGAGAATCTGGGGAAAATGAAGTCAGAAATAATTACTCAGATAACAGCAAAGATTTTGCTCATGATGCAAGACATGATTAATAAATCTAGAGAGGACACAGATAAAAAAATAGAGGATCTGAGGAACATGACGGAATCCCAACATAGGAAACAAATGGAATCCATAACACAGATGCAAACATTTCCAAGAGATTAAAAACTCCATTGAAAGTCTGCACAGCAGAATGAGCCAATGTGAGGATAGAATTTCAGATATAGAAGAAAAGATTGCAATTAGTGACCAGGAAAAGAAAAATTGCTTTAAAATTGTAAGGGAAC